CAGCTATATGGCGGCGGTCTGTAAATAATCAATTCTGGACCAGACAAATCAGTGATCAACAGCATGAGCATCGATCTGCGTAATTGGGAACCGATGACATGTGTCAACCAAGTCAGCGAGCCTGACCATCCGATCCCGTTAGTCACCTCTTACGACAAGCATGGGTTATTGAAGGCACATTCTAACCCGGACCTTCACGGGTACAGTTATCTGAGGACCCACGACATGTCTATGATATATTACCATTTGCAATCGTTCGTCAATCCGGAATTTTGTAAATCGTGACAATTTAAAAGAACAGTTTCGAAGTTCCACTCAGCATAAACTTTCGAGTGGTCAGTTGCAGGGGTAGTTGTCGATGAAGAGCCGTAGCAGTTGACGTCACAACTGTAGTCGAAGGCAACGTTTGAGAACAGACACATTCTTGGAAAGAATGGCTGTTTATACCATATGTATCATGACGTCACAATAATTAAAGGTTCATCGCAAGTTCAATCCATTGAAGATTAACCTCAAATATAAAATTATAGTAAAAACAGTTTTATCAACATTTAAAAACCCACCTCAAATAATCACTCCCTTTATTTCGTATAATTTCACTTTTTTACGTAAACAAATCCCATGCATCACTGACAACGACGTTCAATTTACATATCACGTTGTCTGGGCGCGCCTGTCACCGTCTTTTTAACACCAGTATATGACTAACGTTGTAAAATATGAACAGAAATACCTTGCTCACTTGCCGAACCTTTTTTAAGTGCTTATAATCCTGTAACAAAGTTATATCAGCAAACAAAATGCACTGTTCTTTTCCTTGTGAAATGACGCACTCCTTGGTGTCAATATCCACCCTAAAAAAGCTCAAGAATCACACAAAAAATGTCTTTCATTAATTATTAACCTTCTTGACCGGTTCAATGTCCAGTTGGATATCCTTCCGAAATAATGACGGTGTTTAGCAGTTATTTATACAGCTAGGCGGTCAACTATGCCTACAGCACTTACAGAGTTGCGCAAGTTTCTGTGGTGTGATGCCATGTGTCTATTTGTGCTCTACTCTTTTAAAGACATGGTGTTAACTTTCTGGATAATCTTACTGCAAGAACGCACTCGGAAGACCTCGATAGATGTCATATTATTTTCCTTAGATGTGATGTAAGGCAACTTTTGGTAAACGCAGAATGTTCACTCTTCGATCCAGGTATCGTTGTACAAAGCGATCTTAGTGCTAAGGTGATCGTAACTCCCATACCTTAACGTAGACTTACAGTCGTAGCGCGAAGGTGATCGTAACTCCCACACCTTAACACAGACTTACGTCAGTCGTAGCGCGAAGGTGATCGTACCTTAACACAGACTTACGTCAGTCGTAGCGCGAAGGTGATCGTAACTCCCATACCTTAACACAGACTTACGTCAGTCGTAGCGCGAAGGTGATCGTACCATAACACAGACTTACGTCAGTCGTAGCGCGAAGGTGATCGTACCTTAACACAGACTTACGTCAGTCGTAGCGCGAAGGTGATCGTAACTCCCATACCTTAACACAGACTTACGTCAGTCGTAGCGCGAAGGTGATCGTACCTTAACACAGACTTACGTCAGTCGTAGCGCGAAGGTGATCGTAACTCCCATACCTTAACACAGACTTACGTCAGTCGTAGCGCGAAGGTGATCGTAACTCCCATACCTTAACACAGACTTACGTCAGTCGTAGCGCGAAGGTGATCGTAACTCCCATACCTTAACACAGACTTACGTCAGTCGTAGCGCGAAGGTGATCGTAACTCCAATACTTTAACACAGACTTACGTCAGTCGTAGCGCGAAGGTGATCGTAACTCCAATACTTTAACATAGACTTTAACATTGTAACTCCCATACCTTTAACACAGACTTACGTCAGTCGTAGCGCGAAGGTGATCGTACCTTAACACAGACTTACGTCAGTCGTAGCGCGAAGGTGATCGTAACTCCCACACCTTAACACAGACTTACGTCAGTCGTAACGCGAAGGTGATCGTAACTCCCACACCTTAACACAGACTTACGTCAGTCGTAGCGCTGAGGCATCGCAACTCCCCTTCCTCAAAACAGACTTAGGACAGTCGTAGCGCTAAGGTTGTTTTCTACAACGGCACCCAGACCTTTGCGTTGGTCACTGGGTTCTGAGGCAGAGTTTTTTCCCTGAGGCTCTTGTCTCGTCATTCTTATTTCGGGCAGATCTGTAACCCATGCTTGTCTCGTCATTTTGATTTCGGGTAGATGTGTACCCCATGCTTGTCTCCTTGTAGGGATTTCGGGTAGATCTGTACCCCATGTCTGTCTCCTCATTAGGATTTCGGGTAGATCTAAACCCCATGCTTGTCTCCTTGTAGGGATTTTGGGTAGATAATACCCCATGCCTGTCTTCTCATTTTGATGTCGGGTAGACGTACCCTATGCTTTGCTGAGGATTTCGGGTAGATCTGTAATACCCGTGCTTGTCTCCTCATTCTGATTCATCTTAGATCTGTTTATTGTGCTGGGATTTCCTTGTTGGGATTTCGTATAGATCTGAACCCCATGCCCGTATCCTTGTTAGGATTTCGGGTAGATCTTTACCCCATGCCTGTCTCCTTGTTCGGTTTTCGGATAGATATGTACCCTATGACTGTCATCTTTTGGGGATGCCGGTAGATCTAAACCCCATTCTTGTTACTTTTGGGTATTTCGGGTGGATCTTTACCCCATGCCTGTCTCCTTGTTTGGAATTCGGGTAGCGACCACCAGCTCATCAACTCACTCACTTACTCAAAACATCCACGAGATTCGGACATAACAAATACCCCGAGACATATGACAGTTATCCGGTCTTGGGTCTCACAGACACGTCACTTACCTCAGCCCAGACAGCCTGTTTCGTCTGTCACATCTACTGTAGTCGGTGACGTCCATGCCGCAGTGGTGGACGTCCCGTCAATCAAGCAGCACCATTCTCTCAAATACAGCACCAAGCTTTCACGCTTGGGATGCCGTCGCTGTCAGTCTCCATAAACATGGCGTGTTGAAGTGATGACATTGCCGATCAACACCGCCACGTTTCCCGTAACATGTAACGGGCTGTGTTACGGGAACGGTTCTACGTTACGGTAATCAGCCCAGACTGACTGTCAGAACACTCCTGTTTCATGTCAACGCAGTCTGTTGATTGCCTCACCTCTCCTTGGGGTAGCCAAGTGGTTAAAGCGTTCGCTCGTCACGCCGAAGACCCAAGTTCGATTCCCACATGGGTGAATGTATGAAGCACATTTCTGGTGTCCCCCGCCCTGATATTGCTGGAATATTGCTAAAAGCCGCGTAAATCTAACCCCACTCACTTCAGTTAAGTTGACATTATTTCTAAACGCCAGTCTAATTTAGACTTGTACAAATCTGTGTGGTAATATTTCAGAGTTTAGATAGTGATTTTTAAAAGATATAATAAAATTAACTCATTGTCCCCACTGTCCGCTCATCTAGACTTGCCTCTTCGAAAGGACTGAATTGCTGTACATCCATTGGCTTAGCATTCAGTAGAACCTTGGAGCAAGGCTATGAGTTGATTGATTGAGTGATCATTGTTTAACGCCGCACTCAGCAATATTCCAGCCATATGGCGGCGGTCTGTAAATAATCGAGTCTGGAACAGACAATCCAGTGATAAACAGCACGGGCATCGATCTACGCAACGTTGATACGATGACATGTGTCAACCAAGTCAGTGAGCCTGACCACCCGATCCCGTTAGTCGCCTATTACGACAAGCATGGTTGCTGAAGATCAATTCTAACCCGGATCTTCATGGGTGAAAGGCTATTAGATTCAGATTCTGCGGACGATTTAGACTCGTTTCAATTAGGACAGCAGCGTAACATACAGTTAATTAGGTCTGAAAAGGGAAAATGATATTAATCTGGAATTGTAAGACCAACCTGTCGTATGAGGCGCCGCAATTAGCTGATTGTCTCCCTTGGAGATATGGGATTGTAAGTTCGATCCCGGTTTGCCTCATTATGTTTGTCGTGGATTTTACGAAAATGATGAACATCCACCTTGGACTTTCATCAAACACACCAGTCTCCTTGGTAACGCCAACACGCACGAGGTCAGAGAAATATATGACACAGTCGGTGATCAATCAAACGTAAATATCCTATCTATGAAATCATACCTCACTGAAATCTTTAATCATTAAGGCATTAGCGTCTAAAACGGTTGGAGTCTTATTTCAATCATGGTGACTGATCTATGTGACGAGAATAAGCATCACGATACTTTCTTAGGAAACTAAATCCCAATATGACATGGTCGTCTAAGCTTTAACAATAAAAACCAGTAAAAAATCCAATGTAAACTTGTAGTACTGACTGACTGACTGAGTTTGGTTTTACGCCGCTTTTAGCAATATTCCAGCAACATCATGGCGGGGAACACCAGAAATGGGCTTCACACATTGTGCCCATGTGGGGATTCGAACCCGGATCTTCAGCGTGACGAGCCAACGCTTTAACCATTAGGCTACCCCACCGCCCCTTAAACTTGTAGTAATCCAATGTAGTTTGTTAAAAAAGGTTTTGTTAAACGCCGCCATCAGCCATATTAAAGCTATATGACGGTGGTCTGTAAATAATTGAGTCAGGACTAGACAACCCAGTGATCAACAGCATGAGCATCAGTCTACCCAGTCAGCGAGCCTCACCACCCGATCCCGTTAGTCGCCTGTTATTGGCCGGCTTGATGTGGAAGGAAACCCCGGAGTTAGGCATTCTTTACCATTTTATCTAGACTTGCACAAGTCTCTAAACCAATAGTTGTGTATTTGATAATTTCTAGATTCCCCACATGGGCACAATGTGTGAAGCGATTTCTGGTGTTCCCCGAAGTGATATTGCTGGAATATTGCTAAAAGCCGCGTTAAACCATACTCACTCACTCACTCATTCACTCACTCACTCATTCACTCACTCACTTTTCCAGGCCCATGACCTCAGTACGAAGCAGAGGGTGGCAGACAAGGAACTGAACTGTGGAAAGCGGTGTTGGTTTCAAGCGAGACGTCCCGAGATTATGGTGAGTTGGGGCCAGTGCACTCATGAGAAGGAGTGAGTGAGTTTAGTTTTACGCCACACTCAGCAATATTCCAGATATATGGCGGCGGTCTGAAAAAAATTCAGTCTTGACCGGACAATCCGGTGATCAGCAGCAAGAGCACTGATCTACACATTTTGGATATGATGGCTTGTGCCATCCAAGTCAGGGGTCTGACCACCCGATCCCGTTAGTCGCCTCTTACTACAAGCATGGGTTACTGAAAATCAACTCTAACCCGGGCCATCACGGGTTTGTTATCTTTTGGGCAAATATCCTACATAAGTATGAGATAATTGTCGTCCTCGTTACTTCTCAATGAGTGAGTGAGTGAGTGAAAACCGGCGTAACGAGCGCACACCTTAACCACTAGGCTATCCCACCGTCCCAACTTCTCAATGAGTGAATGAGTGACTGGGTATCCATGCTGTATCCCGGCATGGTATCTCAGTGGAACAGTATTATCCTCTAGCCTGACGCTTCATGTGTGGCTACCCGTGAAGATCCGGGTTAGAATATTGATCTTCAGTAACCCATGCTTGTCGTAAGAGGCGACTAACGGGATCGGGTGGTCAGGCTCGCTGACTTGGTTGACACATGTCATCGGTTCCCAATTGCGCAGATCGATGCTCATGCTGTTTGATCACAGGATTGTCTGGTCCAGACTCGATTATTTACAGACCGCCGCCATATGGCTGGAATATTGCTGGGTGCGGCGTAAAACGAAACTCAATCACTCATTCATATGTGGAAACGAACAGAGCCATCAGTGCAACGAGCAAACGCATTCACCATCGTGCTACTCACCACGCCAAAACAATTTTTAATGAGTTGTTAAATTTTTTAAACAATGCCCTATTTCAATACGCTTGACACGTTAGGCATATTTAAAATTGAGCTTACCTAATGAACCATATTCGTTATGGGGGGGTCATATAGCGCCGTTTTACACGTGCGCGGCAGACTTAAGGGAGGTAACTCTAATGAAAAACGGACTAACGTGAAGGCCAAGGAAATACTTCTAACAATACGAATCTTTTCTCAGCTAATCCCTTAATTTGAGATCCACGTGGTAAAAAAGTAAGAAAAAACAGACTTTAACACACAGCACAATGCGCTCGACGTTTTGGGCGGACGAGGGCCAGACGGAGCACTAGTCAAAGACCATATTTAGCCAGGGTGGTGCGCACAACTTCCGTTCAATTGCATAGACGAGGCTTGCGAACAGTAGACCGGTGAGCGATTGTAGCCAGCAGTGCTTTTCGAATGTGTACTGCTAATGACAAAGTACACGAGAAGTGGAGGGTGGAAGGAGCTGGGTGGGGCATGGTCTCATTACACCAGAGTTTTGTGTAAATTGCGCTGGCGTCTTATTGTCATGGAGACATGCAGGGTGGTCGACGACGTGAGATGGCGGGACGTTGTTTGGCGTGACTGTTTTTTGAGTGGGGCTATTAAATATGATCCTCGGCAGCCACATATCAATAGTCCAGTGGGTAAAGTGTTCGCTCATTTTCCCCCCATTTTGGTGCAACATGGAAACCCATTTGTAAAGCAAATACAACCCAATCCACTCCCTCCCATGAAAATCCGGGATAGAATTGATCTTCAGCAACCCATGCTTGTCGTAAGAGGCGACTAACGGGATCGGGTGGTCAGGCTCGCTGACCTGGCTGACACATGTCATCGTACCCCAACCACGCAGATTGATGCTCATCATGTCAGTCACTTGATTGCCTGGTCCAGATTCGACTGGAATATTTCTGACTGTGACGAAAAACAACAAACAAACACACTAAACGAATGTTTTTGTTTCTTGTCCTTCCTGAAGCATAGTGGTTAAGGCGTTCGCTCGTCACGCCGAAGACCCGGGTTCGATTCCCACATGGGTACAATGTGTGCGAAACTCATTTGTGGTGGAGCCCGCCGTGATATAGCTGGAATATTGCTAAAAGCGGCGTAAAACTAAACTCACTCACTCACTCTTTATTGCGCAAACAGTTTTATCGCCTGTAGTAGTTGAAAATTATATATAATTCATGACGATAACCGTGTGGAGGATTGCACAGTCTCGACCGTTTACATTCGTTACTTAGCTGGAATATTGCTTGTGTGGCATTAAGCAAGAAACTCATACAAAAATCATTTCACTCGTGACCTTTGTTTGCACGCAGTCAGAATGCATATTGAGATTTCCAGTTAATCGTTGCGTCGGATTTCAAAAAGAACTATCAGAAGTTTTAAAATCCAGTGACTCCGATGGCGGCTGAGCATTTGTTGATGATGGTGGTGGTGATGATGATGATGATGACGACGACTATCAGCAGAATATCAGCAATACGACGCCGATCTATCTATAATTGACTCCGAGTCTTTTTTTTCTTCTTCTTCCTCTGATGATGATGATGATGATGATGATCCTGTAAAAAGTAACTGTAAGCAGACGAACCATGAGCGTCTTGACAAACGCTGAGCCACTGACACTGTCGCAGTCCCCCGCAGTGATATTGCTGGAATATAGCTATAAGCGACGTAAAACCATACTCACTCACTCATAACTCGCTCTCGGAAACAACGGTACGGACGACGCCAGCGACTTTCAGGTTAAATATATTTTGGCACAGAGGTCATAGGTTAAAGTTCCACAACGTGTTTCAAAACTTTAAACATTCAAAACCCCATAAAGTAAATGACCATATTCCATAATGAGTGTCAGACTCGCCGCCGTTCCCGCCAACGGCAATGTGTTGTTATGACGATGCGTTCGGGCTCATCGCTTTATAAACGGGAACACTGTTCGTTAAGCTTCTATACATGCACCCGTTAATCCTAGGTTTTTTTACAGAAGAATGCGAAAAAATGGTATTTTGCTTACAAAAATGCATCTATTTGCAGGACGATGCTTCAGCCTGGACCATTATGGTAAGTTATATTCTTCGTTTTATTTCCTTCACACATTTTTTACGTGCATCTGAATTTTTTGTCTGTTTTCCCCTTCGTCGACACGCGGGGAAGAGTCTATAGGGAGGGCACGGTGAGACTGATGCTCGGTCGTGTGACTGGACTGTGTAGTCATTGCGTCATGCATAGATTTGGTCGTCAGTGACTTACTGTGTCCGCCAAGGGAAGACTTGGTCGTCAGTGGCTAATTGTGTCCGCCAAGGGTAGACTTGGTCGTCAGTGACTTATTGTGTCCGCCAAGGGTAGACTTGGTCGTCAGTGACTTATTGTGTCCGTCAAGGGTAGACTTGGTCGCCAGTGACTTATTGTGTCCGTCAAGGGTAGACTTGGTCGTCAGTGACTTATTGTGTCCGCCAAGGGTAGACTTGGTCGTCAGTAACTTATTGTGTCCGCCAAGGGTAGACTTGGTCGTCAGTGACTTATTATGTCCGCCAAGGGTAGACTAGGTCACCGGTGACTTATTGTGTCCGCCAAGGGTAGACTTGGTCGTCAGTGACTTATTATGTCCGCCAAGGGTAGACTTGGTCGCCAGTGACTTATTGTGTCCGCCAAGGGTAGACTTGGTCGTCAGTGACTTATTGTGTCCGCCAAGGGTAGACTTGGTCGCCAGTGACTTATTGTGTCCGCCAAGGGTAGACTTGGTCGTCAGTGACTTATTGTGTCCGCCAAGGGTAGACTTGGTCGTCAGTGACTTATTGTGTCCGTCAAGGGTAGGCTTGGCCGCCAGTGATTTATTGTGTCCGTCAAGGGTAGACATGGTCACCTGTGCTTATTGTGTCCGTCAAGGGTAGCCTTGGTCGCCAGTGCTTATTATGTCCGTCAAGGGTAGACATGGTCGCCAGTGCTTATAATGTCCGTCGAGGGTAGACATGGTCGCCAGTGACTTATTGTGTCCGTCAAGGGTAGACTTGGTCGTCAGTGACTTATTGTGTCCGCCAAGGGTAGACTTGATCGTCAGTGACTTATTTTACCCGTCAAGGGTAGATATGGTCGTCAGTGACTTATTGTGTCCGTCAAGGGTAGACTTGGTCGCCAGTGACTTATTGTACCCTTCATGAGTAGACATGGTCGCCAGTGACTTATTGTGTCCGCCAAGGGTAGACTTGGTCGTCAGTGACTTATTGTGTCCGCCAAGGGTTGACTTGGTCGCCAGTGACTTATTGTGTCCGTCATGGGTAGACTTGGTCGTCAGTGACTTATTGTGTCCGCCAAGGGTAGACTTGGTCGCCAGTGACTTATTGTGTCCGTCAATGGTAGACATGGTCGCAAGTGACTTATTGTACCCTTCATGAGTAGACATGGTGGCCAGTGACTTATTGTGTCCGCCAAGGGTAGACTTGGTCGTCAGTGACTTATTGTGTCCACCAAGGGTAGACATGGTCGCCAGTGACTTATTGTGTCCGCCAAGGGTACACTTGATCGTCAGTGACTTATTGTGTCCATCAAGGGTAGACTTGGTCGTCAGTGACTTATTGTGTCCGTCAAGGGTAGACTTGGTCGTCAATGACTTATTGTGTCCGTCAAGGGTAGACATGGTCGCCAATGACTTATTGTACCCTTCAAGAGTAGACATGGTCACCAGTGACTTATTGTGTCCGCCAAGGGTAGACTTGATCGTCAGTGACTTATTGTGTCTCCCAAGGGTAGACATGGTCGCCAGTGACTTATTGTGTCCGCCAAGGGTAGACTTGATCGTCAGTGACTTATTGTACCCTTCAAGAGTAGACATGGTCACCAGTGACTTCTTGTGTCCGCCAAGGGTAGACTTGATCGCCAGTGACCTATTGTGTCCGTCGAGGGTAGACATGGTCGCCAGTGACCTATTGTGTCCGTCAAGGGTAGGCTTGGTCGCCCGTGACTTATTGTGTCTGTCAAGGTTAGACTTGGTCGCCAGTGACTTATTGTGTCCGTCAATGGTAGACATGGTCGCCAGTGACTTATTGTACCCTTCATGAGTAGACATGGTCGCCAGTGACTTATTGTGTCCGCCAAGGGTAGACTTGATCGTCAGTGACTTATTGTGTCTGCCAAGGGTAGACATGGTCGCCAG